TGTTGTTTCTGTATCCCCCCCTGGTTTTTTTTTTTTTTTTTTTTTTCCTTTTTCCCCGGTACCGGGGGGTTCGGAGCCGCCACACTCTTTGCTCTTGAATGTAATGTAAAATAAAGTTGTCCTCCGAAGAGGGGGGGTGGTGGTGGGCAATAAAAAATAATTTAAAAAATGGCAATAATACTTTGCGTCGTCCTGTTGTTGTTGATCTGGTTTTGTAGCGATCTTGATTACCGTTTCATTCATCGCAGCTGGGGGAATCCGCCCTAGTGGGCGTGACAATTTCAGTATCAAGTCACAAATAATTTTAATACATACAAGATTGCACAACTCTCTATCTGATGTATGTTATCTAAATTTGCTCTCAGTTATCAAAATTTTGAGAACCTCAGTCCTGGGGGGTCAATGTAATGGCCCAAGCGATGGTTCCATCCAGCACATAATGTGTTTTATTAATCATTATTAAATCAGGCCTGCAGATCGATCAGTCTGTTTCCACATATTTTAAACAACCAACCAGTGGCGGTAAAGTTTGTAAAATGTTACCCCCCCCTCCCCCCCCCCCTTAGGTTGACAAGTTCTAACACAAGCTGTTTAGTAGATTATCTGTATAGTATATATAAAAATACACTCAAGTTACCCACTGGGGCTGCAGAGCTCCTAACCAGTGACCTCTGAGATACTTGAGACCCCTATTCTATGTGTATATAATATATGTAAATCAGACAACATCATTACAATTATTAGCGTCAAGATAAACAATATTCTGTAAAATGTAATATAACATGGCATCAACTTGTAAAATTAAAATGGTTGAAAGGTAAAAGCTTTTGAACACACGATTAACCAAAATGTAACATTTTAAATGTTAATAATAATAATAATAATAATAATAAATTACATTCATATAGTGCCTTTACAAGGAGGCAAAAAAACACATCAAGTGGTACAGGGAGAGAAATGTTCATTAAACAGGAAACTTTTAAAGTAAGATTTAAAAGTGGAGAGTAAAGAACAATCATGGAGAGACTAAGAAAGAGAATTACAGACTTTAGGGTCAATGGCACTGAATGACACGACACCAATGGTGAGAAGCCTGGCGCAAGAGACAAGGAGCAGGTTACAGCTAGATGACTGAAGAAAGCGAGAAGGAGAGTTAGGAGTCAGAACATTACTGAGGCACCAGGGTCAAGGTCATGTAGTGATTTGAAGGCCAGTAGCAAAATTTTAAATTTGATACGGGACAGAACTGGTAACCAGTGTAACTGTGAGAGACTGGGGGTGATGTGAGCATAAGGCTTGTTATGACTGAGGATTCTAGCATCAGAATTCTGAATAATCTGAAGCTCTGGTAAAGATGTGGCAGGAAGACCAACGAGAAGGGAATTCCAATAGTCAATACAGGACATGATGAAAGCATGAACCAGACTGTGTGCATCATTACTAGATAGAAATGGCCAAAGGTGAGCAATATCATGAAGGTGATGAAATGCAATTTAGGGACTTATACGCGGATCAAAGTTCAGTGATTGGTCAAATACCTTCCTAAGTTTCTGACCACAGTAGTAGGTTTATCAGTCAAACTATAAATACTGACTGAGAAATCAAAAGCTTCAGAAAATGAGGACTTAGGACCTATGACTAAAACTTCAGTTTTATCAGAATTTAGTTTGAGAAAGTGATCATACATCCAAACTTTGCATCCCATTAGTGCTTTGGGAGGGGAATCAATGGGGGATTGCGAACTAACACATGACTGAATACCATCTGTGTAGCAGTGAAAGCCTCCCCTAAAATATGCCTNGATCCTACAATGGAGACTTCCAGTTAGTGCTGCACAGTGGTAGTGAAAGTGTCAATTACTTCTGTAAAGCGCTATATAAAAATAACTTTCATTCATTAATTTAATAAAAAAAATAAAAGACTAACTGAAACTATGTTAATAAAAACTGTGACCTAACAGTGTTAATGAGCACCAAGGATTGCCTTCCCATCACCATGGAAACAGATCACCTGAGCAATCATTCTCATCAATGAATTGGCAACCACAGTGTCCTGACCCTAACCCCATTGAAAGTCTTTGGGATGTGCTTGAGAAGACTTTACAGAATGGTTTCACTCCTTTTGTCAATGCAAGATCTCTGCAAAAAATTCAAGCAAATCTGAAAAAACATTAATGTTGAGACATTGCATAAGCTAGTCTAAACAATGCCGTGATGAATGTGTGCTGTAATCAAAGCTAAAAGCGAAATATTAAAGCCTTGTTTTTTTCTTTTTGGCCAGACAGTGTATGTTTTGCGATTATTTGCATTAACCTGGACATTCATGTTCCATAACTGCTTATCTAGCACAGGAGCAAATTTGAGAAACCAGTTTCCTAACTGCATGTATTTGAACTGGAGGGAGAGGGGGGCATCACCCAGCATAAACCCCTATAGAATACAGTGAGACCATGAAAACACACAAAATGAGGGCTGGGAATTGAACCCCCAACTTCCTGTGGTGGGAATCCACAAGACTGAGCCACTCAAACACGTGCCACCAATACAGCACAATGTCATTTCTATGCAAATACTCTGTCTGGTTACAGTAGGTTCCTGTACATACTTTATGAAGAAAGCTGTGATCTCACTTGAAATTTTTAAATCCAGTAATTCTCAGGCTTTGCGGTTTCTGTCTGATTGGTATAAATACAAATTATGTCAACAACATGCAGGATTGGCAATAAGCAACGGTTTAAAGGACATTAGGAAGAAATTCTGGAAAATCGTGGACAGAATTTTGTTGTATCTGCAAAGCTGTAGTGATTTTCACAGTCAGAATGTTATAAATTACAGTGATTCCTAAATAAACGGAAAAAATATACCTACCACTTGTATCTTATTAAGTGTTGGTGTAAGTATGGTTTTGATCATAAATATATTTACTGCAATCAGAGACGCGGTTGTAGCGCTGGGAGGTTTTTGTACGGCGTCTCAATCAGATTCAATCACTGTGGAGAACCTTCGGCGGCGGGACCAGACTGGATGTTGGCAGTAAGTATAAGGCTTTTAATCTACAAAAAGCAAGTAGAAATATTTAACACACACGCGCCTACTTCAGTTTCGTTATTATTGCAAATACTAAAATTTATCTTGTTGCATATCGTGAAGATCTTCGATAAGAATATTAATTGAATTATTCATATGCAGCATACAGATATTTAAATCATCAATTTAATATCCACTTACGGCCGGTTAACATACAAGTAATAACTTGTTAGCCTAATCATTAATAATGTAATCATCGTAAAGTTGAAAGTTATAGATTTGATTAGATTTTATAGATAACGAACAGCGCTTTGCTTTTCCAACATATTTTATCTAAGTGACAGAAAATACAATTTTTGTCTTATTAGTTTTATATCCATAAACAAATATTAGGTATATACTTAAAGCGGTTTGTTAGTTGCCTGTACTGCACTACTGTGAGGTTTTTGTACGGCGGCTGATATGCACCGTGAATCACTGTGGTAAACTATCAGCGGCGGTACCAGGCTGGAAGTTGGGAGTAAGTGCGTCTCTCTGTAATACTAATGTTTAAATATTAGAATTAATATCATTTCGATAGATAGTTTTAACGAGATAAAGTAAGTCTGACAGACGGATCTCTTCGCAGTGTTTCAACCAGTGTCTGAGTAAATAAAGGACCCTACATTGAAAATAGATCTTTATCTTTATAAACAATGTGGTTATTATATAAATTTGGATTACTATAACCAGTTGAACATAATTATAATACACAGTGATACACATTTACATTTGTGTTTAAAAGGCTCATTGAATACACTGTGATACAGTAAGAAGGCAACATTATTTACTTTAGATTTTACGGAAATGTCTGTCATCATATGAAGAAATATTTATAAAGTCATATAGACTTTGACAACTATGTCATACTGCAGTTAGTATATGTTGTCACACAGTACTTAAAGTTTGGCTTGGACTCTGACCTAAAGTCCCTTTGGTGTCTCCTAGGTAACACAGCCCCCACCCTGACGGTCCTGCCCCCCTCCAGTGTGGAGGTGTCCAGCAAGAACACGGCCACNCAATGGGGGATTGCGAACTAACACATGACTGAATACCATCTGTGTAGCAGTGAAAGCCTCCCCTAAAATATGCCTAACGACGCCCTTGACAGGACACACACTACGGACAAATTAGAGACACCAGTTTTCTTAACTGCATGTATTTTGATTGGGGTGGTGGATTACCATGAGAAAACCTACTGGAATACAGTGAGAACATGAAAAGACACACAGGCAGGACTGGGAACTGAACCCACAATCGTTGAGACAGAAAACCTCAAGGCTGCTGGCTAAACCACTCAGGCACGTGATTCCATTACAGCACAATGTCGTTTCTATGCAAATACTCCGTCTGGTTACAATACTGTAGGTTCCTGTACATGGTTTCTCATTATGAAGACGATGCTGTGATCTTAATTGATATTTGTTAACCTGGTAATTCTCAAGCTTTGTGATTTCTGTTATCTGCGTGGATATTCACAACAAAAATAACTATCCCATGCGGACATTAATAGAATAGGCCAATTAATTGTCCTGTACATATAAGAAACACAGCTGTAGCGCTGGGAGGTTTTTGTACGGCGTGTCAATCAGATTCAGTCACTGTGGAGAACCTTCGGCGGCGGGACCAGACTGGATGTTGGCAGTAAGTATCCAGCTTTTAATATTCAGAATACAAGTAGAAACATTTATCACTCACACATTCATATATAATTATGCACTTAGGCAACGTTGTGTTAATATAGTAAATGCAATGATTTCTCCTTATCGTGAAGATCCAGGCTTCAATAAGCTGTCTTTCCAGTGAATGTGACAATGTGTATAAAAGATTACCATCCATATTCCACCTGCTTTGATCAGGCTTTATTAGTAGATGTATAATAATTGCAATGTGTAAATTCAGATGCTGAACGTCATGTTACCTGTTCAGCATACTTAGTTTGTGTAACTGACAGAAAAAAATAAGTTGGAAGTAAGTGCTTCTTTCTGTTGTACAGTATTCTTTCAATATTATTTTACATGATTCATATCAGTCATGCGTATTGTATTTATCGACTGAGTACAAGAAATAAGATGCTGCCTCATACAACAAGATCACATCAACTTAAAGTGTCCAAGTGTGTCAATAGACGGTCATGAAGGTATGGAAAACTAGAAAAATAGATCCTAAAATCTAATCAATGTAGTTAAAATAAAACCTGAATTTTAATAATCAGTCAAAACAAATATGTTTAAATGTTGACTACATTTAAAGTTATATACCTCATGACCCCACACTGGACAGAGTATAGAAAATGAATGGACGGGCATTTCAAACATTTATCTCAAAATCTCATAGGAAAAGGAATTAAACTAACCGTGGATTCGGGAATGCTTGTAGCTGTGATACTGAACTACGGCAATATTAATTTTTGCAGATTTTATGGAAATGTCTGTTTTATTAAATACAGAAATAAAACAGTCATAGATTTAGCCCAGTGAAACTGTCATGGTGCACTGTGTATATCTTGTTATATATTATTAACAAATATTTTATTGGACTCTGACCTAAAGTCTCTTTGGTGTCGCCTAGGTAACACAGCCCCCACCCTGACGGTCCTGCCCCCCTCCAGTGTGGAG